GTGACCCCCCCTTTGTTTTTGTGGGGGGGGGGGCATCTCTCAGCCTTCTGAGCTGCCTGGGTCTGGGAAATTCCTGATACCTGGATCCAGGGTATCATAACCAAATGGTTACAAACTGGAGTTTCATTCCATGCTTCCTACTCACTTTCTGCTGCCAAACCTACCAAGATTTCCCCAAATACAGTTGGATTGTGTTGCTGCCCTAGGTCAGCTCCTTTGCCATGGGGTCATAGTCCCTGTACTGAAAGCAAAACAGTTCCACGGGATTTGCTCACACCTGTCCCCAATGCAAAGGGGGGATCTGTCCTATTCTTGATCTCAAGATCCTAAGTGGGTTCCTGTGATTCCAAAGCTTCTGGATATAATCTACCCACTCTCTCATCGGCTCCCTTCAGTTTGGGAGACTTTCTGGCTTCAGTTGACCTCAAGAATGCATTAGACCCATTTTTCCTGCCCTTCAATGCTCCCTGCATTTTACTGTGTACATTCAATACTACCAACTTGTTGTCCTTCCACTCAGCCTCTTCACTGCGCCTTGTGTCTTCACCTTGGTGCTGGTGGCTGTCTTACAGTTTTGATTTGCTAGTGTCCAATCATCTGAAGGTAGCTGCATAATCCAGTGATGTACTCCTAGCAATGGATTTTACAGGTCAGACAAAAATTCTGTTATGGCAATCTGGTCTAGGGAAATGGCTGCAGACTGCTATCAACATAAAAATAAAACTTAAACGTTTATAAATATATGTCCAGTTTGCGACTTTGTGCTAGTAGAATTATAAGATTTGTAACAATGCTAGGTTGTGACCTTTGCATATCCATTGTGGTTATGCAAAGGTTCCCATTAACTTCTCCAGGACTTTTACAACATTTGTATTTTACCTTGAATTAAATATGTTTTGAAAAGCACAGCAAATTTACAATGTTAATATAGGAAACATTTTTTCGGCTTTAACAGCTCACGATATCACACAAATGTAGCACATTGTAAAGTGGATATAGAAGTGTATTCCACATGGGGGCTGCGTTTTACCTAAAATATGTTAGTTTTCTCTGTGGCTTACTTTCCTCTCTCTTTCAGTAGACATAGAGAGGAATGATTTACTACAGGATTTAATTTTTTTTTATGAATGATTGGCTGTGTGCAACTAACCTGTGTGCTTTCTGTAGTATTGCTTCATCAGATCATTTATTGGTTTTCTGAAACATATCCAAGGAGGTAGTAGGTTAGAAAAGATTTTATTTGACTTCATGATTGAAGTTATCCAAAGTAAGAACTCTTTTTGTTTTCAAGAGCAAAATTCATACCTTTCCTTGCTTGTCTCAGATACAGTATAGGTGAATGAACAGAAGACTCTGCTTTGTTGCTAGCAGCAGCAAGTACTGCAAGTGTTCAAGTACTTTGAATTAGGGTATCCATTGCTAAATAGTTCATAGGCTAGACAAACAAATATGCTGTTATTCTTAAAATGTAAAATATGCTCTTATACCTTGCAGGG